TGGAAAACAATTAGCAAAAGCTACTTCTACTAGTACAAACTGAATAGTTAATAAAGGCTCCTGAAAAGACTCTCAATCTATGATAGAGAACATGAATGTGGGTGTTCGTCTTACAATATGTACAATACTTGGACCGATCAAGGGTATGCCTCTGTACACTCAGACAACATTCCGGAGGCAGTGGGAAAAGCATGCTTGAGCTAAAGAAAGAGTCTCCCTACACATGTTCCTATATCACAGTGAGGACTGAGTCTTGTAGCTGTTACACACTGCTGCATGATTTGGGTGTGGATACACAGTAGGCAGGTCAGCTCACTATATCATCTTGAATACATCTGATCTCATCTGATTTTGGAAGCTAAGCATGGTCACACTTGGTTACTACTTGGAGAGCAGATCACCAAGGAACCCCATTAGAAGTGTCTAGGGAGAGCAAAGAAAGAATTCTGCCTGAACCTCTGGCCCACTGCTACCAGTCAGAGTTGGCACTACTCGGTGAGAGGCACCAATCATCTGATTCCGTACAAGGCACTGCCTGATGTTCCTTCTATGTCATGTGTGGCCAGTTTCCAACCTGATTGTTGATAAGATGGTAAAAGGCCTCCACAGGATTGGTCCTACAATCCCAGGGAAGCACCTTCTATCTTGCCATGGGGGAGTACAGAGGAAGCATAGCTTCAACAATGCATCTGGCCTACACAGAGTGGGGAGCATATAATATATCTACAGAATTCGATAGAAGCAGCTATTTTTAGTACTACTATATTTGAAATAGACCAAAACATCAGCAAAAGGGGTGTGTGTCAAAGCTACCAAAGCAAGCTTTGATTGCCTCACCATGTTCCGTTCTTCCGCATAAATAAATAAGCAAAGGATGTGTCAGAATGAACGGATGAGTGGAGATGCCCAATGCTATCAAAACCAGATGGCTGCCTCTCAATATTCAGCCTGTTCAGACAAACCCGGACTATTTGCTTGGACCCTCCGTATATAAAACTGGGGATGCTGTTATTTGTGATGGCAAACAAAAGCAATCATGCCTGCCAAGCACATACTATAACAGGCAGCCTTTCAGCTCTGCTAGACAGAAAGTAATTAGAATGCTTTTAATGTCCAAAAGAATGATGCTGATAGGCTGCCACAGATGTGTAGATTTATGAATATTTATATGGTGGTTTATAGCTGACACTTTTATCAGTTGAAGAAGATAAAATATCTGCCTGACTCAAAAGCCTGACAGTCAGGTTAATAAAATCTCATTAAAGAGAATGACCTATGCAATTATATAGGATTTATTGTAATACATTTTTGATTGTAGTCTGCTTAAAGATGCAATTTCCCATTTCCTAGTGCCAAATTTAGGCTGCATATCAAAAACTATGTGAGCTCCAGTGCCATGCCATCAGCAGCAGAAGAAAAAGTAAAAGAAGGGGGGGAAGAGATAGATCCATTTAACATCTTCAAGGCTCATACCTTCAGAGACAGAAATATTTTGATCTTGTCTTCTTCCCAGTTAACACCTCCCCCACAGAAAAGACTACAGAATGTTACATTCTTTTGGATGCGGAAGGTTTTAGTTCACTTTCTTCTAGTCATGTACCTCGAATCTCAACAGCTGGAGAATGGATTGCCAGTCCAATAGTGATTTCCATCCTGCAAATCACCATCTTGTTCCCATCACGCCCCCCCCTTTTTTTAAAAGAAGCTGCATGTGGCTTTCACATCAGGTTGCAGAATAGAACAGGAAAAGCAATAATTTTGATCATAAGGCTGTGGAGGGTGGAGTTGGTACCAATACTGAACCACTCCCAACAAAAAGGTTTAGACATGCCATGAAACACTACATGGTGGGGTTCCTTTTTCTTTTGTTTTTAAATCATGAGTGTAGTAGTATTTACAACAGCTGTTACAACAGGAGGTAACAGTCTCTCTTCGGAGCGGATGTTCTATAATGCCCAATGGAGAAAGACCTAACTAAACAAACCTAACATGTCTACCACTAAGAATCTGGCCACCAATCTTTCTACTGCTCCATATGGCCATATCCAGCCTCTTCCAACCTGGTACCCTCCATATGTGTTGAACTACAATTCCCAGTGTCCCATCCAGTGCTGGCCATGCTGATGGGTATTGTATGAGGGATCCCATCCAGTGCTGGCCATGCTGATGGGGGCTGGCCATGCTGATGGGTATTGTATGAGGCTGGTCTGCTCTCACTAGTTGCAAACAGAGATGTCAAGGACTGGATTCTAGTCTCTTCCTGACACAAAATATACACCTATAGTCGGACAGTGGGAGCTCTGAACTACAGACACAATTTTTTACATGCAATGTATTTCTGAAGGCAGGCTGTTGAAGGAAAGGGTTATGTGTCCGTGTGTCCGTGCACATGCACAGTAATGAGATCTTTCAGGAGTTTTAACTTCTAATTCAGTTTACAGGCCAGCAGTTCTATTACCAGTTCCTGCATAATTCAGATTCAGTGTGAACGTATATTCGGAGTGGAGATGCCCAATGCTATCAAAACCAGGGTAAGAAGGGATACTGAATGGCAGACAAAATCTTCCCTAAATACAAGCAATATAACAAGAATGCATGAGGCAAAACAGTACATCTCCTTCCTCTTTTCCTCCAATGGCAATGCTACTCCATCTGGAAAAGGGGTGAGCGTCTGATGGAGGCTCGGGTTCAGGACTCATGCAAGGCACAGAAGCAGGGGGCTTTGTGGGGATGGGGGAAAAGAATCCTGCAGTGGACATAAATATTTTTTTCACCAACAAACACCCAGAGGTGAAGTCATCCCAAAATTGCTGCGCTCAACATGGAAGTGGATGAGAAGAACGGACAGCATATAAAGACGTACTTCTCTCCAAAACTGCTCCTTCTCTTTTTCCCTCCCTCCTTTCTACATTGGCTGCTTTTAGGAAAGACTCAGTGATGCCCCTTCCTAGTCCTCTTCTAAGGGAAGGGGTCCTGAACAACAGATTTGTGCCCAGATTATTTTGTTAGGATGTGGTATGGGATCAGCTGCCAGAAGATGGGTGCCAGTGTGCTAGATCTTGGAATTAAGGTGGAGTTTAGAGTTAAAGAAAGATTAAGGAGTGGGGCTGGGTTGGAACTGCTCTGGGGTCCTTCCTGAGCCATTGCAAATCTGAGCCCAAGCTTTTTGTAGCCTGAGGCAAAGACCAAGTTGACATGTCTCCCCCACTCTCAACCCTACTTCTCTGTGCCAACGTTGACCACCTTGGCAGTCAAAACTTGTTTCAACAGTCAACAGCCAGGACAGCAGGTGACACAGTGCATACATCTCTTTTCATTCTCCACCCCCTTATCATCTGCCACCTGAGAAAGCTACCCCTGCTCACTGAAGGTCAGCAACAAAAGCTCATGTAGCATAATTATGGACAGCAACATAGTTTTGTGAGGGGATCTTCTAAGCATGGCAGGCAGGTCAGGGCCCAGCTCTGAATCTTCACACTAGGCCAACAGTAAATCCTGTTGTGGTCAATATTTCCTCCATGTACTCTTCTTCTTGCCTTTGGGATGGCAGCTTGGGGGAGAGTGTGACATTTAGGAGAGCAGATCTAGGTCTCTGCTGGTCAATCCAAACTGTAGCAGAGTTTTGAGAAGCTATTATTTTGGACTCTAGCTCCCAGAATGCCTCAAGCAATCAGTGAGTCTCCAGCCTGGTAAGCTCGTCTCTCCCCCCCCCCCCCCAATTAACTTTTGGAAGTTCTAAGCAATGGGAACCTTTTTCAAATGCTAAGCATTTAGGAGTCAAACTTCCAACTACTTGTGAAACGTGTTCACAGTTATGTTCCTTAAAGTCACATCTAATTGATGGTGACCCTAACAGGGTTTTCAAGGGATGTGAGAATGGTTTTAGTGGTGCTGCCACCTCCTCTGAATTTCCATGGCTGAAACGAGATTTGAACCCAGGTGTCCTGACACTTAGTCTTTTACTCTAACCACTACACCACACTGGCTGATTTCCTATCCTCCTCCAATTATTTATTTGTTAAAAATAACTATTGGAATCAATATTTGCCCAGAAATCAGTCTTTCCCACTCTGTAAATCCCTTGCTCAAAAATACTGTGTCTCAGAGTTGCATGGCATGAGTATTCAGAAGCCAGGGTAAAGTACTCTGTGCATGCTTAGAATCCCTCCCGTCTTCTATACACCGAAAGCTGCTTTACAGCTCACCAAACATGTCTCCCAAAACAATCTGCAGAGCCACAGATCAGAGACAAGAAGTGAAGAGGTCCGCATCTCTAATTTTCTGAGGTCCTGCTTAGTGTGGGGGGTGTTGGGGGTTGCATATCAGAAAGATTTAACATGGAATATTCACCTCCAACCATGTTTGCTGAGTCTTCATTCAATGTCCAAATCCTCTACAACGCAGGCCTGCTGGATAGTCCAGTGGTTTAAAGCATTTGGCTGCAGAGCCAGAGGTTGGGAGTTCAATTCTCCCCTGTGGCTCCTTGACAGAAGCTGGATGATCCATAGGGTCCCCCTCCCAGCTCTAAGCTGGACGATCCATAGGGTCCCTCCCAGCTCTGCAGTTCTAAGATTATTATTATAGAACTGAGCAGAAGTTAAACGTAGAGATGTTGTACAAAAGATATGTGCAGGTGGTTCCCAGGAGACCTGATGTCCTGCAGTGGCTGAGAGTGTGAGCTAGGAAGATCCCAGTTCAAATCTCTCCTCAACAATTTTTCTTAGCCCCAGTATTCTCAGTGTATACTATGAACACTAAATGCTGGACTATCTTATAGTGCTACTGGGTAGTCAAAATAATGTGCAAGGCCCACTCAGAATGCCCTGTCAAGGACAAACCCTGTGACTGCAATGCCTTCTGTACATGCTCAGAGGTGCTCTTGTTACTTCACATTCGACAGGGGGAAATTTGGCATTAAAAATTAACGTGGGAGAGCCATCATTCATTTCACATGAAACCAGCAAGCTCTCCCCCCCATCTCCCCCCTCAAAATCTGATACCTGCGCTCAGCTCCAGGCTGCCGTTTCCCTCGCCGTTGCTGCTCGTTGGTGCCCCCTGGTGGCTGTGGCCGTACCTGGCCGAAGAGGAGGAGGAGGAGGTGGTGGAAGACGACGACGACGACGCGGCGGCAGCGGCGGCGGGAGCCGCTTGGTGTCCCAGTTGCGGAGCCGGCGTCCGGGGAGGCTGGCCTTGTGAGGCTCTGCCGCCCGGGTAGGAGCTGTGCGCCTGGTAAGGCAGCTGGTGCTCCGTCAGGGAGGAGGACGAGGCGACCGCGGGCAGCGGCTGCTGCTGGAAGTGGTGTTGGTGGGAGTGCTGGGGGTGGTGGGGGTGCTGCTGGTGGTGCCCGTTGCCCGCCCTGACCTGCGGGATCTCCACCATGGTGGGTCTCTCGTAGCGCTTGCTCAGCGCCGGCCGCCGGCTGCTGGGGAAGGTCTTGAGGACGCTGTAGGGGCTGCGCTGCTGCTTGTAGATCTTGGCCCCGCTGGGGCCCTCCTCGGCCGCCGGCTGCATCTCTTCCTCCATCAGCATCCCGCTGAC